AGTTTGCTTTTAAGATAGTTCAGAGATTCTCTACAGTCCTAACTTTAATCTTTTCACATCTTCTTCGTGCATTGGCTTCTCCAAATTCTATGCAACTGTGAATTTGATTGTGAAGATTTGAATGTTAAAAAAGAAGGAACAGGTAACTAAGAGAATCATATCTTACAACAACGCTATCATCGTTAAGTGCTTTTAATTTTTTTATTTGAGATTTTTGTTGGCTAGCTGCATGTCTTTTGAGTTTGTTAAGCCATTCTTCTTCTTATGCAATATTCTTTTTAACCTCAATTATCTGAGATCTAAGGTTATTATGGCGCTTAAGATTAGTCATTATTGTGATTATTTTTTTTAATTCTGATAATTCTGTCTTTAATCCTTTGATTTTCTCAAAACTATTCTTTTGGGCTACCACGTTATTGGGAATTGGTTCTTTGTGTTATTGGAAATTGGTTCTTCCGGTTCAGTTATAAAAGAGACTTGTTGTTTTAGATTACTAGAATAAAGTTGAGAAGGAGATGGAGATTGAGAAGGCTGCCTATAGGATGTGAAAGCCGTAATACAACCATACAATTGTACTGAAGTATTTAAATATTCTGTTATTTTTGCTGCAATATCTTCATCATCTTTTTTTTTATAAAATGCCATTCTGTGGTTGCCTTTTTACATAACTCACTTTTATTTGTATCTGGTGTTCCAGTTAATGCCATTTTATAGAAAGTATAGGCATTAACAAAATATTGATATGTGTTTTTAGGATTTGAATACACATATTTTTTGTTGAACTTTGGTGCGAATAGAAAAGTTTGCATTGCAAATTTTATTCTACTAACAAATAATTTTGGGCTTTATATATATATATATAGTCAGCGCTCACATTATGATACATAATTATTGGGAAAATTGTATATAAGGGCCTGAAAATTGAAAATAATTATAGATAAGGGTCCAAAGTGAAAATAATTACATATAGAACCCAAATTTTGAAAAATTTTACAATTAAAAGCCAAAATAACTTGGCATTATAATTAGAATTTGGAGCCGGATTCGACTTTCTTCAGTTAGATTTAAATTCAGATACAAATCTAATCTACCAAATCTGCAATACTTAAATTACCAGTGCATAAAGAACAAAAGTGCTCGGCATATTTATGATAATATTATTTAATTTAGCATTTAATTTTATTTTTGTTATTTTTGAATTAATGTAATAAATTTAAATTTTGACAACTCAAATTTAAATTTAAAGCTAAAGATTACTTATTAAATAAATTCAGATTTAAAAAATCAATCCAGTTACAAACTCTAGTTACGGTATGATGATAATGGTTCTCTGAATATTATCACTGTATATACAATATTACTTTATACATTTGATACTATATTCTTTTGCTTAATGAAATTTACTTTTAACCAAGATACAATTCAATTAGCTAAGTATGATATTTATTAATCTTGTAATGTTTATTCTGTTCTAAACTAATATATCTATTCTATACAAAAACTATTGAATCATCTTTGAAAACTACTATGCATTAAGATATTTAGAACTGCAAAAACTTATTTGTGTTCATAGAGAAAGGAGTAAGTTAAATTAGTTACAGTTGTACACACAAGAGATATAAGAATAAATGCAGTATTTGATTAAAAAGTAATATGTATGTTTATTTATATTATTTTTTAATCTAACTAGTTACGATAAATTTGATCCTTGATTATGATGTTTTTCAAAATTTAACCCTTATATGTATATACTATAATTATTTTCACCTTGGGCCCTTATTTGTAATTTTAATTTTTCAAACCCTTATTGTTATTGTTATATGTAGTTTCCCTAAATTATTTATCAGGATGCAGCGCAAAGTAGAAAACAAGAATTTTTAAAACTGCCTGCTTATATATTATTCTAATTCTAATTAACTCAATGTACTGATAATGCCACAATGAAGAATTAGTTGATACTTTAAATTTTTAATTTATTGCGAGAGAATAAGATAATTTCTAACAATATTATTATTATAATATAGTTCTCAGAATTCAACATTCTTCAGAAACCAACAGACAAATATATACAAAGTAGGTTTGGTATCATTTTCATATGGGCCAA